CACATAATGCTTCCAATGTCATAGGGACTGAGACCTCTCTCAACCCCTTTTTTCAATAACATGGTGGAGATGCGGAGTGTTTGCGCACACTCAACCGGAACATCCCAACCATAATATTTCAGAAGCTCTATATCTTTCTCGGCATCCAAACGTTTTATATATTTAACTATATCAGGAGAGTATGGTTTACGTGCTTGGGGCCAATAGAGCCAATCAAATGTGCAATCCTCAAACTGCAAGAGAACAAACAAAGATTCATTCAAATGGAAATGCAGGGGAGGGAAAGAAAGAAGAAGGATGAGGAATGCTTACTTTCTCTGGAAGACAGTAGCCATGATCAATGGGAATGAGCACAGTGCGACCACCCTCATCTTTTCTGAACAATATATTCCCAGCATGCCTATCTGCATTAGCGATTCTTAAATCAAGCACAGTGATCTTATGCACCTCCTCCACTGAAAATGCCCCTGGACCAAGGTCCTCACAATTACCATCATTGTTCATAAACATCTGCAAGGACCCCATCTTGAAATGCTTTGAGGAGCAACCAAACCCATCTGGGTAATTAAAGGATTTGTGTAAGCACCGGACCATAATAGTAGGGGGAACCCCAGCAAAGCCTACAGCTTCACCTGACACCATTCTTGGCCCATCCATCGGATGATCCAATATATAAGCTGCAACTTCTCTCACAGCTCCTTCTCCCACCTTTGTCCCTCTTTTCAAACCTTCACCATTGGATGAAATTGGAAGCCCTTGAGGGTTATTCACCGCCATTGGCTCCTCGTCCATGGGCTTGAAAACCGAAACATACTCCATACCTGTTGAATCTTGCATGAAGTAGGTCCCACCTGTGCCCTCAGAAGATCTAATAGGATGGTTTCCTTCCTTCAAACCATCAAACGTGGAGCTAATCATATCCCAAAGGAAAGGAAAAAAATTGACCTTAGGGTTCACAAATATTGGTTCCAACCAGAAATCTACATCACGTGGTGGTATCTTTGGTGTCTCTTCAATTTGATTCTCCCACACACCAGAATTACCATCATCAGCAACAACTGAAAGCTCCAAATCCTTGTGAACTGATGTAGCCTTAACCTTTGCTGATTTTTTAACCACCAAATGAATGACACCTTCATCAGTACTCTTGCACAGGTCACGGAAGAGCCTCTGATCATGAAGCTCCTCCCTACCGCAAAAAAGCTCTTGCCCCTCGGGAACAATGAAACCTTTCCCCTTCTTCTTAATGCGTTGCTTAAGATACCCCACGTTTCTGTGCCGATCAATCTGAAACTCAAACTCTTTCCCACAGGTGGTCCTGACAACAATGAAGATCATGTCAGAGAGCCGAAGAACCAAGTGAAGAACATTGCCAGCGGTGACTCCATAGTCCTTGATAAGTGCGTCTTTGCGAACAAGCTCTCTGCCGCCATAAACCAACTTGTGCTTCTTCCCTGCAATTCCTTTGCATGATTGAATCCTCATTTTGACCGAAGCAATGGAATCAGATTCCAACACACGCATTGGTGTCACAGCACCGTCTGCGGTTACATATATTAAGATAGATTCTCCAGAGCAATGCCCTTGCCAATGCACCGATTCTTTGCAAACCGGTCTCACAGCAACATCCGCAACCGACATCTTTCAAACTCGAGAACAATCTTTGTTTTTTGAACTCAAGTTTTGCTAGCTGGATATCTTGAGTTTTATGGTTAACTAACGGAAGGAACCCATTAAAAAAAAAAAAAAAGGTCTTTCAATCGAAGGGATCGAAAAGACCCAGATAAGAAAAAAATTAAAAGAATGAAAAAAAAAAGTTTTTTTTTACAAAAAAATGATCTGCCCAGAAAATAAAAATTAGCGTGCTGTATATGCCATATTAAATGAAAGCAAAAAATGGGTAAAAAAACTAGGGTGACGGGTATGAACGAATCTCTCGTAAGAAGCGTGAAGGAATGGTAGCGATCGAGAGTGGATTCTTACCAAGGAAAGAATCAAAGAGAAATGTTAGAGGGGTGAGAGCTTAAATGGAAAAGATAGGGATTCATTAACTAATTCCAGCGACGGGCGATTTTTACGCCGATCTTATTTCCTCTAATTAACTTGTCACTTCCTAACAGAGAGAACGATATTGTAGCCATTGGTTTTTTTTTGTTTTTTTTTTTAATTTATTTTTATGAAATTTGACCCAACCACGAACCACCTATATCGGGAACATTTTTAAGATAATGCAAATCTATTTCTAACAACAGTAATCACGAAAACAAATAAATACGAGGAGTGTTTTGTTCTGTTGGAACTTATAATTATTACAATCACACCTTCACAATTTCCCTTGTCTTGTGTTCGGAGATGCACCAGCAACTAGCACATCTTGCTTTTGCATTAACAAAATAAATATAAAGCTCTTCTACCTTGTTGTTTAATAACATTATTAAAATGCTTTCACTATGATAACAATTATTTTAATGTCGTTGGCCATACTTTTTCGGCCAATTCATTAGAAGAGTGCCCATGCATTCATTATTGTGGTCTATGTTTTATGCATGCTCAGGAATTTGGAAGGTGCTTAAGAAGAATTTGTGCACGTTCACTGTTATACCATGCATTGTGACCAATAATGCAGTTTAAGGTACACTAATAATAGGTGATGCAATTTAGTAATGAAAAAAATTGATAAGCTTTAATTTCTTGGAGATATCGATGTTCATCTTTTCAGTAACATTGCATTTTGTCCTTGGTCCCACGTATTAAAATAAGCCAATGACAAACTCCTTAAAATTTAAACTGTATATGTACCCATGCGATCTAACTACATAAATAAATGAACTGTTTAAATTTTGTTTAATTATAAACAACGTCAAAATATATTATTTTAGGTTAAATAGTTATGGTATAAATCATAAATTACTTTATTATAAAAATTAACAAATTTATTATTTATGATGTTTTGTAATTGAGTGATGGTATAAAATTGTTTAACACGATTAATCTATAACCTATTTTTTCTATTATTTTATCATTTAATTACTGTATTTTTTTTTATGTAATTTCTTTGAATTAAAATGTCAGTTTATTACGATAAATTTCCTATAGTCTTCACATTGAACTAATATTTATAACAATAATCTAACATTTAATATCTTTAGTATAATCCAATGTAGAGATTTTTTATCTTTTGCCAAAGTCTTAGTCTTATTTAAGTATATTTTTCAAATTAAATTTTTTAACGGGTAAATGAACGATTTAGACAACATTATATGTTTCGATATATATTGTTAACTATTTGTAATATTAAATTTACGTGTATTCTATTTGAATTGGTGTAATAAAATTGCTTTTAAGGTTCGATTAAAAAAAAAAGGATAACATCATTATAGAAGCAAAAAATTAGATAAAGGAAAGACCAGAGAGTGTAGCTGGCAGTTTTTTTATAATGATAAATCGGTTTAATAATTTTTTTTTGAGATTTTAGAATTTAATTTAATAATGATAAAGTAATAATAAAAAAGGCTTTGGTTAAAAAAAATGATAATATCCTATAGTGGCAAATCAAAGATACAGAATTTTTTACTAAATATTACTGCACCTATTCCTAATTATAAACAACATTTTTCTTCTTCTAATTATAGGCAACAATAATTGATTTTTAAAGTTATTTATGGGTAAATTTTATTTTATACTTTAATTAATTATTAACTATATTTCTCGTGTATTCACTTATGATTAACATAAATATAATAATCACTTAAAACAAAACATATCTTTGAAATAAAATTGAAATTTATGAAAAAAATTGATTAAAAATTACATAGTTATTTTTTTTTTTTTTATCTTGATGATTTGTCTTATATTACTTAGAATTAGGACCAAAGACAATATATAATAAATGATAGAATAATTTTATATTTAATCAAATTGTTTAAGGTTGAACCTTAGTTTTAGATAGACTATGAATTCTTGGTCTTAAATATGAAACAAAATAAGTTAGGAGAAAATTTTCACTTTGCATGCACTAATCGTCTTTGAAAGAGATTATTATGGAATAAATTATTTCAAGCAACAAATACTTCATATCAATATAATGATTAAAAAATAATATTTTTTTATTATTATTTATTAATCTTCCTACGGAATATTTTATTATCTAATAATAAAGTTTTAAATAAAAAAGTAATTGTATGTAAAAAAAAGTAACTATATTTAATGTTTTAAAATATAAACTGCACTTAATACTTATTTTATAAAGAAAGTAAGAAAATTTAGAATTGTCCTCAGAGATATTGTCTGATAAGGAAAAATAAATTGAAAGAAAAGAAAAAATGGAAGTTAGAAAATAAGTTTTATTTGCAAAGTATCAAATAAGTTTTACATTTTGTAGCCATTAAGTATATTTACTATTTTGTTTAAATATTTTCTTTATAAGGAAGTTAGAAAATTTATAGAAAAATTTTAAAATAAAATATTCAATTATTGATAAATAAAACGTGTTTATAATTAAAAGATGCTTAAGCTTCTCCATAAATATTTATAGGAGAAGAAAATAAAAAATAAATCTTAAAAAAAAAATTAAATACCAAATTTTTATCTTCAAATCGATGAGCTAGTTTTTAAAGGATATTTCGTATTAATTTCTTTAAAATATGTTTTTTAGTTTATGCATAAATTAAAGCACACATGGGCGGAAGAAGTTTAATTTTGTGGGCCAGATGTGAGGGTGAGAGTTATAAAGGGTATTTTGGACATTGTAACGCAGTGAGACTGTTACCCGCGAAAAGAAGGGTGAGTTTGAGTGAGTGCGAAAGAGAAAGGGAAAAGAAAATGAAGAGTAGTTTTGTGTGTCTTATCATATGTTCCGCATTGGTAGAGTCACGAGCATTGTTGCAACCTTCAGCTGCACCCTCTCCTCTCCCTCTTGCGCCGGCCTTGTTCGTCATCGGAGACTCCTCCGTCGATTGCGGAACCAACAACTATCTTGCCACCTTTGCGCGCGCTGATCACATTCCTTACGGAAGAGATTTCGACACTCACCGACCCACCGGAAGGTTCTCCAACGGAAGAATCCCCGTCGATTTTCTTGGTTATCAAACTCCCTTTCTTTAATCTCACTTTATTATTTTTATGATCAATTTTTTTATTTTTATTACCTTATTCATTTCACCTATTTAATTAATCATTTTTGCCATCAGCTCTGCGTCTTGGGCTTCCATTTGTGCCCAGTTATCTTGGGCAGACAGGGGCCGTGGAGGATATGATTAAAGGGGTCAATTACGCTTCTGCTGGCGCCGGCATTATTCTATCTAGCGGCTCTGAATTGGTTTCTTTCACTTTTCATTTTTCTTTTTTTAACTTCTAATTAAGTAGTCATTATTCACTAATCACTAGTTGCTTTTAGAATATTATTATTTTTCCCACAAATTTGGAACATGGCATGAGTTCAAATTGGTGCAGGGTCAGCATATCTCCCTCACTCAGCAAATTCAGCAATTTACAGACACGTTTCAGCAGTTTATATTGACCATGGGAGAGGATGCTGCCAACACTCTCATATCCAATTCCATCTTTTATATTTCTATTGGAATTAACGACTACATTCATTACTATTTGCTCAATGTATCCAACGTCGATAATTTGTACCTACCGTGGCATTTCAATCACTTTTTAGCATCTTCATTGAGGCAAGAGATTAAGGTAAACATCTAAGATTTCATTTCTCAATCATTATACTTTCTTTTTTTAAAAAAAATATTGCTAATTGTCCACTGATCCGTTTATAAAGCTCGAATGCATTATGTTCAGAAATTTCTTAGAAAATGTTCATAAAAATATTGGTTTATAATTTTTAAGATGAGCTTTCAAACCAGTAAATTATTGGATCGGCTGGGGCTTTTGCACCTTTAGTGTGCATAGCATTACAATTTGTACACCATAGCCTGATTAACCAAACACTCATTTTTTCTGTAAATGAGACAGATTCAAAACTTTAATGTAATTTTATACATTTTTCGAAATTTTTGCACACAGCAATTGAAATTGACTTCTATCTGATTCGTAATCCTCGATGACACAGAACTTGTACAATGTAAATGTTAGGAAAGTGGTGATCACGGGACTTGCCCCTATTGGCTGTGCACCTCACTACCTGTGGCAGTACGGTAGTCAAAATGGAGAATGTGTTGAGCAGATAAATGACATGGCCGTCGAATTTAACTTTCTCACGAGGTACATGGTTGAAAATCTTGCTGCGGAGCTCCCGGATGCCACTATCATCTTCTGTGATGTGTTTGAAGGTTCCATGGATATTTTAAAGAATCATGAACGTTATGGTACTAGTATATGTTTTTTACACCTCTCATTCTCTGTGTCTATTAGGGAATTTCTGTAGCAACATCACATCTTATTACTCTGCTTTATGATGTTCCCTAATTAGGTTTTAATGTCACGAGTGACGCCTGCTGTGGATTTGGGAAGTACAAGGGCTGGATCATGTGCTTGTCACCGGAAATGGCATGCAGTAATGCCTCCAACCATATCTGGTGGGACCAGTTTCATCCAACTGATGCGGTGAATGCCATTCTGGCAGACAATATATGGAATGGCCAGCACGCTGAAATGTGCTATCCTATGAACTTGGAGAACATGGTAATTCAGATGCCAAAATGATATTGTGATATTAGTTTCCTCCACATTTTACACGTAAGTTTTTGATACTCAATGGAGGTAGGCAGTCCTGTTGCACCTGTTGCTCAAAAGAACTAGGTATATGCACATAACGTAGTAAAATGGTTACCAAATATTAATATTGGCACCAGAAAAATTGTTTCCCCCAAAAACTTCCCCATGCACAAAATATTTTCAACTTTACTAACAAGTAATGACCTAATAAGCACCGAAAAAAGAGTTCAGCATCAGCATTTTACTGCATAGTTGCAACCTACGGAAGTGAGGCTAGTATTTGGAATCACTTTTTTTTTGTTTTTTGGTATGTTGCAGTAGAGTAACATGAAACAGTTTACTATGTGACAACTTTTAACAGTAACTATAAGTTTCTATAATGATCCAAGTCTCTACAATACAAGCAAATGCCTAGCTATAAAACAAGATGAGGATTATTGTTATGCTACAGCATACAAATAATGTAACCCATCCTCTAATTGTCTGGCGCACCTTATCTGCATTGTATGATGCAGAAAACGTCAACATGTGTACTGAAATTATCTTGACAACTGCAAGGCATACAAAAACAAGACTCGTTGCTAACACAGCAAGTTCTTTGGTTTCCATATTTACTTGATTATTAGCAACCTTTCGAACATCTGATCTGAAAAGAAAGTGTATGAATGACATGTCAATCATTTTTTAGTATACAGCAAAGAGAAGTGTCACTGAAATAATGGTAAGGAGAAAACAATCTTTTATTACAAAATGCTGTAAAACAAAGGTTGTTAACCCCTGCTAAGTTAGCATCAACAAAGTGAGCAAACAGGTATGTAAATGACTAACACGAGTTTTTTTCAAATTTGTTATAAAGAGCATCTCCGATGGTGCAACCACGGTGGAGTTGCTTAACTCACTTTAGGTCGTCCTTACAATGTCATATGAGATTTAAGAACTTCAACAGGTTTTCTTTCTAATAGTGTACAATCCTTAAAAATTTAAAATGTGCCCTACAATCGTCTTGCAATTCTTAGGAACAGTTAAGAATCGATGCATATATAAGCAAAGGATTATCATGTCAATTGCACCAACAATTAAACTACATATAAGAACTGATTCTTTAGTTTAAGAACTCTATAAGGAACTCCAACAGTAGGTGTTCTAAGACATGTATGAATTTGAAAAACCAATAATTGGACAGATAGCTTTTAATCAAAGTTATCAAAATGATTTATCCTAACCTTAGCATGCTATTTTCTCTGGCTAATTCATTAAGTTGAGATGAGATAGCTTCTTTCCAAGACTCAACCTCAGATATTCCCTTTTCCTGAAAAATGAAAGAGACCAAGAACTGTAAGTGCATAGGAGAAATTGAAAGAGAATCATGAAGAGAAGACAAAAAGACGAAATGGGCAGGCGCGAGGTAACCCACCAAATTTGTGTTCCACTGCCAGAGATTTTTGACCTCTGACTTGCTTTGTCCAATGCTTTCTGATAATCTGGACAATTCTTTCTCAAGATCTGGTATTTTGGCAGCTTGTTTCTTGTTCAATTCTTTGATGTAATCCTCCAAGGCAGATAAGTTTACCTCCACTGATCTCACTTTCTGCATCAAAATCTTCAGAATAGTGTCACCAGCTATCCTACCACTTAGTTGTTGTCTAAGATCAATTACAGGATCGGGAATCAAGTTCACAGTCGTTGTGGTTTTTGTTACTTCTGCGTCAAACTCTCGAGTGGTATCATTGCTCGATATATTGGAAGCCACTATATCATTCTTAGTATCAACTTTTTTTCCATCCTTGTCGATTTGACCATCTTCTGATTTCAAAGAAGGGGTGTCACTGATATTATGCACAAGCAACTTATCAGGAATGGATCCCACAGATGCAACAATCAAATCCTTAAGCATCCTCTCTATTGCATTGATCCCATAGACTTCTACGACACTCAATGTGCAGTAAAATTCAGATCCATAATGACTAAGCAAACTCAACTTTAAATACCTTGCCCATTTGGGTTCAGGTAGCTTAAAGATCTGTGCATGCTTGACATTGGCAGCAATAAAATTTCCCAGCATGCTCCATTCTTCAGTTGGATAGCTCAAACTACCAGCCAAATCAAATTCCTTAAAGTTAGAAGAATAATGCTCGAAGTTTGCAATTTTCACAGAATCAACCAGGGTCTCTTCTGAAAGTTCAATAACAACAAATTTTCCTTCAACAGAACAAGGGTTTCTCAGGTACTTGTCATGGTCCTTCCCGAGTATATTTTTTGCACCCTTGGCTTCCTTATTATGGGCCACTACCTTTGCACCCTTGGACTCAGAGGCGTAGTTGTACACAGAACCATCAGATTCAAGCCTGTGAGTTACATTAACAAGCGCAGAGTCCATGCCCCTGGTTTTTTCTTGAGTTGCTGCCATGTTATGTAATTCATCATAATTAGGGTGAAGTTTCCCATCAGGAATTTGTTTGTGTTTGTTTTCCTCTGGTGGAGGTTGTAGTTTGCACACCAAATTACTACCATTACCTAAAACGTGCCAAAAAACTTGTTCTAAACTAGTTGTTTCAGGAAGCGAGTAGGAGGGTTTCGCTAGTTTCTGACTAAGACTGACGGAGCTACCTGATTCATTGAACTCTAACATTGCTGCATTTGTGAAAACATGCTAGGATTAGAGACAGGAATATGCATGCATGATCGTCATTATTTACGATAATTCTAAATAACAACAGAGAACATGGTAATAAGAAAAATATTAATGTTATAATTTATTTTTTGTTTCAAAATGATCATATGTATGAAAATATATAAAAGGAGCATGGGGTTGAACATGAGCATGAATATGAAAAAGAAAAGGGTTGTGGACCTCGACCTCCTGTGCCATGAACGAGGCGAAGCTTGATGTAGAAGAAGAGAAGGCACCATAGGGAGAATATGAAGGAAAAGGAGAGGCCAAAAATGCTGCTATTGCATTGTTGCCTTGACATTTGGAATTGGTATTTGAATTTGAATTTGATGTGTGGTGGTGATGATGAATCTTCATGTTTCAGTTTCATCGGCTCATGGATGTTTGATTGATTGTTTGATGAATGGAAGAAAGGGAAAAACTCAAAAGAGAGAAAGAAAAGAAATCCAACATGGATGGCGAAAAAAGAGAGTATAAAACTGGGCGTTGAAAAAGGCGCAAAAATAGTTGAATATTATTGCGACTTAACGGCCACTCTCACCCATCACCAATTCCTTTAACCGCAACGTCAAAACTTTAGCTAACATCTATTCTCGGTAATTTTGCACTCTTCCCTTCATACCTTTAATTACTTTTTATTTTAAGTGATCCGTCTCACTATATTTATTTAAAAAGTATTAATATTTATTAAATTAATTGATGTCATATCTAATTAATCTCAGAATTTTAAATTTCAGTCTTGAATGTGTAGGAGTAATTAATTTTTAATATTATTTTTTATTATTTAAAATTAAAAAAAGTTCGATCACTTTTATTATTTTTATATATAGGCATAGATTTCCTTTTCCATTAAATTCAGTTAGTTATAATTTTGATTAGTACGTGCAAATTGTAGTTCCTTATGATGAAATGATTTATAATTTTTGTTTTTAGTAATTTATAAGAAATATGCTCTTAATTTAAATTTGCAAAATTACAACTGTATATTATGTTTTATGAATAATAATATAGGCCAAAACAATCATAAACAGAAACATAAAACGTTATTATTATTTGTTCATGTTTGTCTTCTTGTTCACCCCCAATGTCATATTTTATATATTTTCATGCATATGACCATTTTGAAATAAGAAATAAGTTATAACATTGTAGTGTGTTTGGATGGGAGATTTTAAGAGAGTAATAATTTTTTGGTGTGAATTTGAAATGCTTTAGAGTGAAATATTTTATTTGGATAGAAAATTTATTAAAAAATTAAAATTTAAATATTTATAAAAAAATTTAAAATAGTTGAATTTTAAAGATGGTGACCCATAATAAGGAGCCAAGGGTGCAAAAAATATACCCAGGAAGGCCCGTGACAAGTAGCTGAGAAATCTTTGGTGTACTGAAGGAAAATTTGTTGTTATTGAGCTTTCATGAGAGACCCTAGCTAATTCTGTGAAATTAGGGATCTTTACAAATGTTAAATTAAATTAAATTAATTATTAAATTAAACTATAAAATTAGTGCATCTAAATTGAATTAAACTATAAAATAGTTTAAAAAAACTAAACTAAACTATTTTCTAATTTAGTGAATTATAGTTCTAAAAGATTGAATGCACTATAATTTAAACTAAACTATTTTTTTACTATAAAATTAACTAAATTATATTATAAAAATTATTTTTATTTCAAACTAACTTCTATTCTCAAACTTATACTAATAAACTAAAATGTATCTATCGTAGTTTAATTTGGAAAAATTAAAATTTTCTGAGTTATAAGCCAGCCAAAATCACTTATAAAAAATTCAGGCAAAATAGTTTAAGCTCATATTAACACATACACATTAACTTTGGAACGATTAGTAAATGTTTCATCTATTTGAATGATACTTTGTACTGAATTAAATTATTTTTGTACTCTAAGGGGGGTGTATTGGATTAGGATTTTAAAGGACTTTTTTAGTTAAAAAAAATCCTGCGGATTTTAAAAGACTTTGCAGGATTTTCATGACTTTTAAGATTTTGCAAGATTCTACCAGACTTAAAATCAGGATTTTAATGGATTCTGCAAGACTTTTAAATTAGGATTTTAATGGATTCTGTGAGATTTTGTGGAGTTTTGACATTTGATAAGATTTAAAAAAAATTATACATTCAAATTTAAAAAGAGTCAAAGATAAAAATAATAAATAAAAAAAATAATGTCTAGATAAATAATAATAATAATTCTCTATAATATTCTATCCTCTTTTTATAGCATCCACTATCAATTGTAACAATTCATCGGAATCATCCTTAATCCAAGCTTCATAGTTTTCTTTCTCTTTTCATTTTTCTTTATTATTTCCTTGTGAATCTCCCATTTGAATTACTAAAACAATATATGTTAAAAAATAGTTATATAAATAATTACGGATAATAGACAAAATCAATAAAATTATATTATTATTTTTAGAAGCACACCATCATACAAGATCGAATATATTTTTGCTATCCAAATGGATCAAATACCTCAGTTATTATAAAAAAAAATGTAAAAACGAAAATATAGAAACATAAGATAATTTTTTATATAAAAAAATTAGTATATTCGATACTGAAAAAATATTTAGATATATAATTTTTTTTATATAAACAGAAGTATTTAGATATAGAGAATATATATATATATATATATATATATATTGTTGAGATTATGATATCAATTTCATCTTTCACCTTTTTCTTTTCTTAACGTGTGTCATAAAAAAAATTACCACTTAAAAGTTAAAATTTCAAGTATTTTTTTGTGTTATATAAAGGAACAAATTCAACTACATAGAATAAAATAAAGTAAGTCAATTAAAGAGAACGAACAGAAAAATAAAACAAGTCAATGACACTATCATTTACATATTAGAGTTTCACAAAATAGGAGAATGGTATGAGAATAGTATTATATATGAGCAATGAACAATAGTGTAGTATTATTAGTAGAGAAAAAATGGAGAAGACAGGAGCATAGAAAAAAAAGATGAAAAACTCACTTGAAAATTCTTAAAACACTTGAAAAATCATTTCAAACAATCCTTCAAAATCCGATGGGTTTGGATGGGATTGTTTTATGAATCTGGTATTTATAGATAACACTAGAAAGTCTTTCAAAATCCCTCTCACACAACAATCCTTTAAAATCCTTAAATTTTTGAATACCAATGGATTGTTTTTAAGTTGTAAAAAATCTCAAATGAATACCAGTGGATTTTAATGGACTCTTTAAAAAATCCTGAAAATCCAGATTGAATACCACTGGATTGTTTTTAAGTGACATAAAATCCTGATTGAATACCAATGAACTTTTTTACTCAAAAAAAGTCTTTTAAAATCCTACGAAATCCTAAACAAATACACCCCCCTAAATCAATATTTTTCTTGTGATTTGAATTAAAGGGAACTGATTTTTGTTGTAATTTAATTTTTAAAATAAAACTTAAGTTCAATTTAGTTTTTATACAAAATAGTTGAATATTTTTTATAATCTAATTTAATTTAATTTTTTAGTATTTTAGTTTAAAATAATTTTTTAATAACCCTATCAATCAACAAGAAATTTGTGTCCATTTTTTAATAGTCCATTATCCGGTGTGTTTTAAAAGAAAATTTAATTGTAATACATTGCTTACACAGTCAAATTAATTAAAGAGCATTGAAATATAATTTATCAAATAATTATTAAAATATAATATTTAAATTATCCATGTTAATATTTAATTGGATAACATTTAAATTTTTTTAAAAATATATAATCTTATTTATATAAAAAATTATTACTTGTACAGATTGAATACAATAATGAGTTAATCACCTATACACTGTTAGTGTAAAAAAAAATTTACACCGACAATTAATCATATTTTTTAATACTACCATGTCAGTTATTTATTTAATGAAATAATAATAAAATAAGTAATTTTAAAAGATATAATTGGTTACCAGTATAAAAAACTTTACATTAACAATATATAAATAATTAATTCTATAATAATTATATAAAAATTATTATTATAAGTTTTTTTAATAACTATAGTGCACTATTAGTTTTTTAAACTAAACTTAAAATATAGTTTAGTTTAGTTCTCCATATTGATCTTAGACAACAACTAAGTGGTAGGATAGCTGGTGACACTATTCTGTAAATTTTGATGCAGAAAGTGAGATCAGTGGAGGTAAACTTATTTGCCTTGAAGGATTACATCAAATAATTGAACAAGAAACAAGCGGCTAAAATACTAGATGTTGAGGAAAAATTGTCCAGATTATCATATTGAAGTGGAACAAATTTGGTGGGTTACGTACTAAAGAGGATATTGGGTTAGTTTAGGTTTGGTTAACTACTAATGGAGGAGGAAATTCAAAAAAAAAATGTACCTCCATGCTCATAATCCATTCTGCACAGTTGGCACCATAAATACCACATTTTACACCCTGCAAACCAGCAATATATGAATTAAGCTGAAAGGAATAAATTGCTAGAAACTATAAATAAACATGCAAAAATGAAATATCGAAATCATAAAACAGGGACCCAATGTGCAAATTTAGGTGCAAAAAGAAACATGTTCCAAAGAGCCAAGCACTTAAACTCACGGGGCCATGTTTGTGATTCATTACTAAGCTATTCAAGTGTATGCAGATAGCAACATTATCAAGAATATATGGTGTTTGAAATTTGTCAATGGCATGAAACCATGTAAATCACACATCAATGTTGCTTGTAAATAATAAATAAGTGAACAGCGCAACATGTACTGTGAAATGTGAATCCAATAATTTGTAATAACATAACAATACTACGGAAAACAACTGTGAAACAAAAAAAAAAAAAAAAAAAAAAAACAACTTGTCCACATATCTAACTATGTTCCTTGGTGATTTAGACAAATTTGAATAATAAGATTGAATTTGTTATAATTTTTAAGATAGGTTCAAGTTATGTTTCGATTCATCCCAATCTATTCTTCATTATTTGATAATGTATAAATTCTTATAACAATTGTGTATTAATAATATAAATCTTGTTAATATATAATACTTTGTGTAACATTATATTATATTGATAGTGTCAATGTTTATTTTAGAATATATTATAAAATATTTTAATTTAAGTTTTGTATTTTTTTTATCTCATAATTTAACTATACATACATAAATATTGATATATTAGGTTAAAACATAAAGTTAACCCTATCTCGTCCCATATATTTTGGGTCTTGTTTAGGTTAGGTTTAGGTTCAAACAAACAACCCAATCAACTTTTTTAATTGGACAAGGATAAAGATAAACTTGTTCTAACTCATCCTTTGCTTACCCTTAATTGTAGTAACAACGATAGTAGTGATAGTGATGACGATAATAGTAGTGTAGAGGTGGGGCAATGTGGTGGAGGTGGTATTGGCAGCGATATGGTAGAGGTGGTATTGGCAACGACATTGATAATAATGTGACAACGGTGTAGTGGAGGTAGAGGTGGTGGTGGTGGTGGTTGAAATAATGAAAATGAGAACAACAATGACAGAGAGAACTACGATGATGACATTATGTAATAAGTTTATTTATTTTTTAATTTTTAATTTAAATTATTTATGTTAATTAAAAATTTGCTATTAGTTGCTCTTATATTATCATATTTTATCAAGTATTCTCACTTGAATCATCATATACACACGGTTTTTTTTTAATTTTATACATCGTCAAAATTGCTAAATACTTTATTACTTTTGTATTGAATTTAAATGTAAAAAAAAACTTGTAACGTGATTATTGCATATTAGAATAACGTGATTATAAAAATATGTTTTTTTTTTCATCTTTAAAACATTATAATTAATTCGATTTTAATCATCTTAAAATTTGTGTCTTATTTTCCTCATTTAATTTATAAATGTCTCACTTTTTCTCCTCAAAATAATTTTTTTTAAGCTTATAACAGGGTTGATTGTCAATTATAATCATTTTGAGGACAAAAAGGAAATATAACCAAATTAGAGGAAAAAACAGAACAAATTTCTTTCTAAATACTAATTTTTATAAAAAAATAATATTTAAATTAAATAGATGAAAAATATATTTTATCCTAAATATCATATAAGGTAGATAGTTGCAAAATCACAAATAACATATTATTATTCACTTAGTATTATTTATTTGCAACTGCCGTTTCCGTATATGAAGTGATAGTGATACATACAAATATATATATATGTGTGAACTTATCTGGTAAGTTTTTTATATTTACTTTTCGCATTAATATTTTATAAAATGTGGTACAAATTAAACATTGTATTCATATGGCCCGAGGCATAGGCTTATTACAAAAAAAATGGTGCATGACAAAAATAGAGTTTGAAGTACAAGAGTGGCATAGGCTTATTACAAGGTGGCACGTCAATGGAGTGGCATAGCGAGGTAACATACAGGTTAATGGTTATGGCCGAGTTGGTGGCAGGGATGATGTTGTCTGTGGAAAGTGGCCATAGAACATGGCATGCTGATGCACGTGTAAAATAATATTTTGTTTTAACGTTAGTAATTAATGTATGCTTCATACATGAGAAGTCGATCAGATTTACGTCATTGTTAAAATAATGCTGGCATAACATGTTAGATATCGTGATGCTTCGAATATCAATAGTTAGATAGACTGAACCAACTCATGAAAACCCTAAACCTAACAACATAAATAGTTACAGACAATTATGTCCACATTCCTTTAATGTTGTAATAATGGTTAAATTGAAATACAGGTAAGAAAAAATAATTATGAGACTTTAACTTTGTAAAACAAAAAAATCGCATATGTTGTGATGTGATACATGAAGAGAGAGATAGAGTATTCAACTAACATTTAAAATTGCGTAAGTCTAGTTTTGACTAGAGTACCAAACCTAGACTATCTAAAAATGTTTTTATTCCAAAATTTAAAGTTTGGTTATGAAATATAGAAATATAGAAATATCTGTGTTGGTGGTGCAAGAGCAAGTGCAAGAGCAATGGCACAGAAAAGATTCATCATTGAGGTGGAGAAAGCGAAGGAAGCGAGCGAGGGAAGGCCATCTCGTGGGCCTGTCTATCGTAGCCTCATTGCCAAGGATGGATTCCCTGCTCCTATCCAAGGTCTCGATTCCTGCTGGGATGTTTTCCGGTGAGTGAAGCTTTTGTTGCTCCAACTCCAACCAACCATTTACTTCTGACTTCATGCTACTTTTATAGGTTGTCTGTTGAGAAATATCCGACAAGTCCTATGCTTGGTCGACGGGAAATCGTCGATGGGAAGGTAAAATCTCGTAAATCGATTCAGTCTTTTGTTCTGGAAATTTTCTGGCCATTACTTGACTAATTTTGGCTTTTAACTGACTTAAATGAACCATTTTTTAATGATTTTCAATAGGCTGGCAAGTACAAGTGGCTAACTTACAAAGAAGTATATGATCTGGTCATTAAAATTGGAAATTCTATCCGCAGCTGTGGGTACCATGATCGTTTAAACTTGACTCGTAAGATACATGCTTTGAAGATTGAGCGTTTAAACCACGATCAAGGCACAGCGAACGTTGTGTGTGATGCGGGGAGATCGCCGAAGAGAGAAGGTTCTAGAAGACGTTGTCCAACAGGAACACCCCAAGAAACACCGTCATTTTCCGGTGATTCTCAAGTCTCAATCAAACCTCTATCTTTCTTTTAGTTCACAAAATTTAAAATAAATATTTTAAAAAGAATAAGTGGATAATTATTTTTTTTAAAAAAATAATTTTTATTTTACATATAATTTTTTAATTTTTTCTTTAGATATATATTGATAAAAAAATAGAATACAAATATAAAGATATAATTATCTTTTAAAAAATAAACATCAAAATTGAATATCCCTTTTATATATTTTAATAGATATATATATGAGTGGAACATGTGGATACTTTTAGTTTTGGAGTGAAGTGTTAATGTATGACAACATACAATTTTGGAATATTATTGATTCACACACACAAACAATATAACTTGTTTTGCTTTTTTATTAACATAAATGTTAATATATTTTTTAAAACACACAAAAGTATAGATTGATTTTTCTTTTAACATAATTTTTATTTCATATATATAAAGGTTAAGATTTAAATTTTAAACAACTTATTAATGATACAAGTCTCAACTACTTATATCAATCAATGTTAATAAATATCGATAGATTAAAGAGTAGAAATATAATATATTATAATACAAGTTAATCAAACTAATTATGATATATATATATATATATATATATATATATAATGTAAGATTATTTTAAATTGATTGAAATATGAAAATTTAAAAAGTATTTATAGTTTTGGAAAAAAATTATAATTAAAGTAATTAATGTTTGATGAAAAATAATTAATAATAGAAAAGGTAATTAATAAATATATAAATAATGTAATTGAACTTAGTTATAAATTATAAATCTATTTATCTAATTATATTTAATACTTTTTTGGTGCATTAACTATATTTAATATTTTTTTTCATTTCATTTTGTTTCATGTTCGATTTAAGAAATATAATTAATATATCTTATTTCATAAAATAAATCATGTAATTTATGGTATAATTTTAAAAATTTTAAATTCTTACCGATAATTAAAGAATGGATTAATAGTAATTAAAAATATTTAATGATATATTGAATTATTGATATTATAGAATAATAATTAAATCGGAACAAATAAGAATTAATAAAACACCAAACACAATAGAATACAGAGCACAATAGAATACAGAGGAGTATAATTATGGTAACTTACACATTTGAATAGAAAGTGTGAATTTTATTCATTTAATTAATAAATATTTAAAAATAAGATGATTTGATTTATTATTGAAATTCATGACACACATGATACGTAATGAAAATAATCAATTGTATGTATATATGTAATTAAAATAAAATGATCAAATATCGAAAATAAATGACTATTTTTGTTGTAAAAAACACATCATTATATTAATTTAAAATTTTCCATTGATATATAATGTGATATGAATTAATAAGGTGGTGAAGATTATTTTAATAAAGTTAATGGAAGGCGAGAATTTAGTTTTTATATAATTTTTTTGTTTTGTTTAATATTTAATAAGAGAAGAGAATAAATTCGTTTAATTTTAACTTCTCTCAATTATTGGTAGTGTTGAAGGAAAGGGTAGAGATTTTAAAATATTTTGAATATAATATTTAAAATATTTGTACCTATATTTATTAATTTAAAATTATAAGGATGTACAAGTATTTTGATTTTTAAAATTTGTTGACTTCCTTTATGAGTTATGAGTCAAATAAAAATAGAGTCACCTTAAGTTTTCTCCATTAAAATTTCTACTATTCTTTCGTTAAAATTCCTCCCTTTTTCCTATTTCCTTTGAATCAAATAGATCTTAAAAAATTAATATATGTTATAATAATTAAAGGTAATAAAAATTACTTTTAAAAGGTAAAAAAATATAAAAAGGTGAAAATTGATTAATGTTATAAGCATATTTAATTATAATCAAAATAATTTTTTGTTGCACAAGCGTTTCTAAGATATCTTATTTTGTTGGGATAAAAACATACTTTTACATAATTAATTAACTTCAATAGAAAAATATTAAAAATAATTATAAATTTCAAGTTTTTCATATGTATTTTTTTTGTTACAAATTTTTCATGCGTATAAAAACATTTTATTTTTTTTTATACTTGTGTTATTTATATATTTAAAAATAACTTATTTAAAAAAATTACAAATTTTAGTCCTGAACGATTAAACATACATACAATATAATGAATTTATATAAAAAAGAATTACATACAATTTACTTAACAATATTTTTCTTAAAAAATACTACTTCAATTCTTATTTATAAGACCAACTTAGAATAATTGTTTATTATTTTATATAAGATCCACATCATAATATTTAATATATTAATTATTTTTAGATTAAATATTTCTAATTAAAATATATTTTTTAATTTAATAAAATACATTAATTATAAAATCTTTAAAAGATATGAAATTAGGAGAATAAATATTATTAATTATAAGAGAAGTAGTATATGACATACATACTTTAATTGATTAAAAGAGAAATAAATATTATTTAAGAGTGAAATAATAGGAGTACCTTTAAAAAATAAATATAAAAATATAAAAAAAATTATTATTATCAACTAAATTAATTAATTTTTTAATTTTTGATTAATTAGATGTTTGAGTCTTTTATATTTATATATATGGTTTACATATATTTTTAATTAATCAAATTTAGGATATATTTATTTTTAGTATTTTTAATTTAAAATTGATTTTTTTAGTATTTGTAATTAAAAAAATTATTATTTTAATCTTTACATTCAAATGTATTAAAAAATCTGTTAAATATTATCACTTAAAATCTAACTATTAATAATTTTATATTAAATGTGAATTTTAAAAATTCAACCGTTAGATTGAAAGTTCATATCTCTTAAATCATATATGTTAAATTTTGCTAAAATTGAACAACTTGAAAGTAATCAAAGTGTTCATATTTTAGTATATTTTGAAATGTATATATTACGTCAATTTTATTTTATGAGAATGAAGTATCAAATCATTTTAGATTAATATAAAATTTGATATATATAGTCTAAGAGATATGAACTTTCAACTTAACAGTTGAATTTTCAAAATTTACATTTAATATAAAATTATTGAGCGGTATAATACTTAGTAAAAATTACGTCAGTGTCGTTTAAATCTTCTATATATATATATATCAATGAAATTAAGAAAAATTTTCCCGAAACTCACTCTTACATTAATTTCTGGAATTTAAGATTTTTTTTTTCTAGACAGGTTCTTATTGATTGCTGATTTTATTTTTTATTTTAAGAAAAAATACTTTCCGCTCTTTTTAATTATTGAAGAGTAAAGGAGATGATTTGGTAATAAATAATGATTTAAAAAAAAGCGAATTAACCATAATGGTTCATTCCTCATCCTCTCGTCTTACACACTTTCCACTTCCCAGTTTCCACTACTCTCATCTCATTTACATATATATACATATACCACTCACTGTACCATATTTTCATACTCTCCGCACCGCCATGTCTGCCACCGCCTCCGCCCTCACCGACGCCACCAGATTTCCTTCTCATTCCTCTTCATTCGCTCTCACCTCATCCGCCGTTCACTTCCCGCTCCCTCTCCGTATTCGCACTTCTCACTCCAAACCAATTTCTTCAATCAGGTTAAATCAGTCGCCTAATTGCTCACGCATGCATGCTTTTACTTCGTTTCTATTTCTACCTATGGATTATGCTAGCTTCATTCGAGACTGAAGGAGCATGTGTTGAATGTAGATGCCAATCGGTTAATACCGATAGGAAGAAGTCAAGTGGAAATCTGCTGGACAAGGCCAGCAACCTCCTCACGGACCTGCTCAGTGGTGGTACTATAGGTTCCATGCCCAAAGCTGAAGGTGCAGTCTCGGATTTGTTAGGTCGACCTCTCTTTTTCTCACTATACGATTGGTTCATCGAGGTACTTCAATTTTTCTCAATCATTAACTCGTCTCATATTTTACATTAAGTTTCTGTATATGATTTTGAGAAAATACACTATGCACCTGTTATGCAATTATAAACCACATGTATGATGACTTTGTTCACTTTTACAAAGTATTCCCTCAGTTCCTTTTTAATTGTCATTTTTTTTTAAAGAAAATTTTGTTCCTATTTATCTGTCGTTACCAAAGTCCAAAAAAATTTCTGTTCTTATATATGTGTGTGTGGGAGAATGTATAGTTTGCTCACAAAATTGCTCAATTTATCTTGTTTACTCTTAACGTCATATTTTACTTTGCTTGTCAGTCATATTCTAATTATTATCTAAGGATATTATTGAACATGACACAGCATGGCTCGGTGTATAAACTTGCATTTGGACCAAAAGCGTTTGTTGTTGTGTCAGATCCCATAGTTGCTAGACATATCCTGCGAGAGAATGCATTTTCTTATGACAAGGTATGATCTCAGGTCTCACTTGATTTTTGTTACAGTTGGTTCAGTCTATTGTCAGAGTGGTTGTTTATCTGTGGTATCCTTTCCAAAGAAAAGTCTGAAATTATCCTCTGTTGGTCTTCATTCATATGAAGTTTGAATCTGAAAAGGACTAAAATGTTATTTTGGCTAACTGAAAAGTGGAGTTCATCCCCTGCAAACTTACCATTATTAATCTATGTCCACGTGAGCCAGAAAATAAGAAATGGAAAATTCCAAAATGTTTTTCAGTGATATTTGATAGCTATTTGAATTTAGATTTGATTTTTGAAGAGTATACTTTTACTCTTACCATCTTACATTTTATAAAGTAAAAAATTGTCCATCTTCTTAAATCTCAACTGTAGTTTCCTGCAACAAAACTACAACTCTCTATCCTTCAACCAGTTCCCTGTCGACCCTCTACCCTCTTTCTAACTAAGAACTTTCATAATAAAATTAACTCCTCCTCTGCTCACCCCTCATTAGTTTTATGAAAATGACATTGTGCTTCTGAACTTTACAGGCTAATAAACTCCACCCTGACTTACCCTCATTAGTTTTATGAAAAAGACAAACTTTTGAACTTTACAGGCTAAGTTTTTATGGCCATTACTGAGCAGGATGAGGATGCCTTGTAGCTGT